GATTTGAACCTGTTCAACTGACAACATGTGTATAACTGTTTCGAAGAAAACTCATTTAGATTCTAGAAATGTCCTGTAAAATCTTGTAACTGCCTATCCGCATAAGTTGTAAATGGAGTCTTTTTCAGCAGCTTTTTTATCATTAAATGACGTTTTGTTGTAAACCAAGTAGATATTATGAATAATTCATTCGTCTTCCACGGTTTCAAAATAAACAAGTAAATAAATAAATATTTTTAAAAACCCTGTAAATAAGCAAGTAAATAAATACTATAGACTATAATATACAAATATAGAGCCTTTCAGGATAATACATGGATTTCCCAACATAAGAAAAGCATATCGACCGAGGCTGAATTTTTTTCTGATGTCGATGAAACCATTTATAGACCAAAATTAAATGGCTGTATTAGATTTGATACAGAACGATGTTACTTTTTATTTTAGGGATTGTATTAACTGTAAAACGGAGAAAACAATCAACATAAATGTATATTTGATCTTATCTATATCTAAAATATCACAAAATTGATATAACAATACACGATACTTGTTTACCATGCTTGTCGTCATATGTAAAAGCAGTCAACCTGTTGTTACCTGTTGTTTACTGCTGTTTACTGCTGTTATTAATCAGTTTCTTAAGTGTCGCAGCGCTTTTCAATACGTAATCAATTTGTTTTTCAAAACATCATTTTTCTACCAATTTATTTCCACGGTTGTCACGTGACACTCTCTTAGCCTATCAGAAAGTATGGAAATCAAGATCTCATTATAATGCAAAGTGTAGTCTGATGGTGATGTCAGGTATATTGTCGGCATTTTTCAGATTACGGATAAAGTAAATTAAACTGAAAATTTACACACTGCAGACGAAAACTTAAGTACAGGCACGTAAAACAAATTACAGGTGACGAGAAAATGTTGGAATCAAGTCAAATGAAACACTTGAGAATGTTTGTAGCAAAACCCGGAAGTTCTATTGTCTGTATGTAAAGTGTGATGGCTGTATGTGGATGTAATATATTGTAGGCGAAGAATCGGAGGATAAATGCTTTTATTATGACGGATGTTACTGCCTGTATTTCAATATTGATTTATTTACAGGTGAAATATAAAGTTTTACTAAAATTACAACAATAATATAACGTCAGAAAAAAATACATGTGTACTTAAAGTGTTACAATTACACGTAGTGTAAGGAATTATAAACATAGTATTATAACATACAATGTAACAAAAATATAGTTGAAGTGTTGTAATTATATACAATGTCACAAATCATATTTAAAGTGTTATTTATTGTTAATTAAGCATAAATTGTAGATCAGCTGTTACATGGTAGACAAATTGTGTTATAGACCTGGTCAAAGAATATGAAGTTTCCTAGAAGTGTTAGAGAGCTCAGCGGAAAAGTTTACGATAAACTGAATCAAGAATAGTTTAACTGCTACAGCCAAAGGACATATTTAAAGCAAGATATTTGAATGTATCTTCATATTTTTTTTAATTTATAAAGGAAATCTGTTTTCTATTATGACATAGTGATGTTTTTCCTGAAATCAAGATGTTCTGTGATTAAAACTTATCGCTTATAGTGACAATTAGCTATAAAATATGATGAATGATAGGTAAGGTGTTATAGAATACAGATAACATGTTATATACTGTTGGTAAATCAGACATAGGTAGTGTTATAGAATATATATACTGTAGGTAAAACAGACATAGGTACAGTGTTATAGAATATATATACTGTAGGTAAATCAGGCATAGGTACAGTGTTATAGAATATAAATAACATGTTATATACTGTAGGTAAAACAGACATAGGTACAGTGTTATAGAATATATATACTGTAGGTAAATCAGACATAGGTACAGTGTTATAGAATATAAATAACATGTTATATACTGTAGGTAAATCAGACATAGGTACAGTGTTATAGAATATATATACTGTAGGTAAATCAGACATAGGTACAGTGTAATAGACTATATATATAAAATACGGTCAACTCTTACGACCTATAGGCAAGATATTCAATATATGTAAAACTGTGTCAACTATCGATGATGTAAATGGTTTGTATGTAAGAAGCTATAGACTCTGTAAAACGTGATACACAGTAAGGAGATTGTTTACAACTGATCTCACATTTTAGCGACTTATTCTAATACTTCTGTTTGTTACTGATCCGTACTTTCCTATCTATGGAATTCCAGATCAGTTTTTTCATCAAAAACTCAGTTTGCATGACTTGCTCGTAAGCAGCAAGCACCAATTTTTAATATGGGCATGATTATATTTTTGAATTAATTTTTTAGAATTCATTAAGTGGAAACCTTTCAAATACACATTTCTAATTTTAGAGATGCTTGAAAAATTGAAAACATTATCTAAAGAAGTCTTGAACATGCTTGACGTCAAAAACGAAGGTGTTCGCGAGCATTGTGTCAAATGGCTTTTTGAACACGTGCCTAGACTGTGTAAACAAGGTCGGTGCGATGATGCAGCCAACAAGAACACTGTGTAAATAAGGTCACTGCAATGATTAAGACATCCAGAAGATCGAACAGGTGTCTAGGCTTCGTGAACAAGGTCACGGTAATGATAAAGACAACAAGAACATTGAACGGGTGTCTAGACTTTGTTGACAAGGTCACGGTAATGTGAACAAGGTCACGGTAATGATAAAGACAACAAGAACATTGAAAAGGTGTCTAGACTTTGTTGACAAGGTCACGGTAATGATTAAGACAACAAGAACATTGAACAGGTGTCTAGACTGTGTTGACAAGGTCACGGTAATGATAAAGACAACAAGAACATTGAACGGGTGTCTAGACTTTGTTGACAAGGTCACGGTAATGATAAAGACAACAAGAACATTGAACGGGTGTCTAGACTTTGTTGACAAGGTCACGGTAATGATTAAGACAACAAGAACATTGAAAAGGTGTCTAGACTTTGTTGACAAGGTCACGGTAATGGTTAAGACAACAAGAACATTGAAAAGGTGTCTAGACTTTGTTGACAAGGTCACGGTAATGATAAAGACAACAAGAACATTGAACAGGTGTCTAGACTTTGTTGACAAGGTCACGGTAATGATAAAGACAACAAGAACATTGAACAGGTGTCTAGACTTTGTTGACAAGGTCACGGTAATGATAAAGACAACAAGAACATTGAACAGGTGTCTAGACTCGGTGGACAAGGTCACGGTAATGATAAAGACAACAAGAACATTGAAAAGGTGTCTAGACTTTGTTGACAAGGTCACGGTAATGATTAAGACAACAAGAACATTGAACGGGTGTCTAGACTGTGTTGCCGCCATTAATATCATGGTCAAATGTTTACAGTGATGAAATTCCGAAGCTTTCATGAGAACAAACTCTTGAACTAAGTCAATTTTATTCAGGTAACCACGTGCTATTTTTGTGGACAATGATGACATCGAACGTGTGTGTTATTCAAAAGTTCATAATACAAGAAATAGAAGATTATACGAGGAAATTTTCGATGTACATCAGCCTACAGTTACTTCCCCTTGTTCAAATAAACCAACGCAAATAGACCTGGACGGTGCGATAAGCGTATACTTAATTAGGACATGATTAGAAAAATGGATGTTAACGTTATTGAAAGATAATAGAAAAAAGACAGTTCACTGAAAGGGGTACACCTAGATCCTTGCTAGGATGTCTATGGTATGTTGTAGAGATGTTATACAAATAGCTGACTGACGTCGGAAAAGTCGATCTCATTACTATTTGTAAGTAATGGTTGCGAGTTTTTTTTCATTAGTAAACATATTTTGCACAATTGCATTAAATCTATGTCGGGTATGAGTCAAGGCCACCATTGATAAAGAGTATCAATATCCCATTTTCTAATTTAAAGAATTTCAACTGGATAATTAGAAAAATGATTACTTAATGAAGCAAAATAAAAGATCAAGAAAAGTTTAGTATTGTCAATCAGAATGATGATATATGTTGGCTTGAACGAACGAGAATATGCGTCAACAATATATCTTAATTAATCATTCGTGTTTGTACGGTGTGCCCGAAACAAACTACATTGCGCGATAATAACTTCTTCAGTGGTCGAATTTGCCAAAGCCACTGGTATCAACGCTTAAATAACGGACTTTCCAGTCTATTTCTTTAAAGATTCTTAAGTGAACATATTCGCCCAGAGCATTAACTAATTTCGTCAGTCTAGCGTCAAATTACTACCAAAACAATCTCGGATCTCCTGTTAAAAACGGGCTAGCGCCTAGATATGTCCTTCCTTATATGAGGTCCGCCGTAACCGCCCATAACGTGATTGTAGATTTCATGCCGTTAGATAAAGGTAAAACGGCGGGGAGATTGTTTCTGTCTGAAACTTCTCAACAAATACCAGCGAAATATTGATGGTTTAAAGTATTTTCGCCCCGGTCTTGTAACAATGACCGCCGTTAGTAGTTTCCAAACAAATCACGTTACCAATATGGATGGGCGTGACAGCAGTGAAGCATGAGAACTGTTTCCAAGAAGCATTTGTCTGGCTACGAAGGGATACATAGGAAAGTTTTATTGATATAAAAAACGACCCCGTCACCTCCTCACACGCTAACGTCTATAAAGCACCGCCTTGGCATTGGCCAAATCGTTCCCTACAGGCTCGTTTACTGTATGTAAATTGTTTTAGCGAGTAAAAAAACACTCAAACTTCAACAATTGGTCATCTGGAAGATGTGAATCAACAGAAAGGGCAGTCACTAAGCAAACATCATCACATGCAAAACCTAGAACTGCAAGGTATTTCCCAGCAACTATTCTAAATGAAAAGAATCAAATAAAGAAAGAGATTACACTAAATAATGTGAAATTACCAATGTTTATAAACGTCACAGTAACATCAATAGAGACAATGGCAGTCTTTTACCTCATTAACATATAAAAATTTGTTGCATATATTCAATAAAAATGAAAACGATTTCAGCCACTCTTTAAAATATTTTATTACAAAGAAAGCTTGCAGCAGTGTGTCCTCCAATACAGAACAATCCTGGTCAACACTAGGTAGATACAGAAATGTCTAGAAGTTATCCTACACTAGTAATACATGCATAGGACAAACTGGTAAAAAAACAAATATAATGTATTCTTATCTTTAAAAAATATACAACGCTATAGCTTTAAATGTAACGGTCGATGAAAAGTATGTTTGTATCTTACAAGACATTCTCGATTGTTTGGACTACGTCGGCAGGCTGTTGTCCTGTCGACATTCTCGATTGTTTGGACTACGTCGGCCGGGTGTTGTCCTATCGACATTCTCGATTGTTTGGACTACGTCGGCAGGCTGTTGTCCTATCGACATTCTCGATTGTTTGGACTACGTCGGCAGGCTGTTGTCCTATCGACATTCTCGATTGTTTGGACTACGTCGGCAGGCTGTTGTCCTGACGACGTTGTCCTACAGATGTTCTTGATCGCTTTTAGACGTTCTCTCGATTGTTAAGACTACACCAGAGGGTTTTTATCTTAGAGACGTAATTGATTGTTAGAACCAATCGATCTTACTCTTTATGACATTATTGAGATTGTTTGGATATAATTAACAATGAATTGATTGTACATTTATCTCATTCAACGTTATTCATTGATTGAAACCGATAAAGTTATAGATTGGATATCGGTTGCATTTGAGATTTTTTAAACCTTCTTTGTTGGGGGAGGGGGGGGGATGTAAAAAAAATATAGTAAATGATATCGTGTATAAAAACAACTGTACATAACGTTAAGTCACTGGTTTTAGATCACACAAATAGCCATATGTTTTAGGTTAAAATGTATTACACACCGTGATTTATACGTCGAATGATTCCTGGATTTATCTCTATATGTTTAAACACGTGATATCAAAGTTGTAACCTAATTACATGTATAAAACAGAAATTGTTTTTGAGCTTTTATCACACATTAACAGACTGCTCGGAAACGGAAGTATCTGGACGGTTTATGGTGACAAAGTGACGGACCAATACACTAACAAGTATTAAATAACAGCACATCCCATCATATCTCAACTTTCTTATTCCTAAGATAATAGTAAATTAACAGCATCTGAAAACCTACCTCGCTTGATTAATAAGGACATATCGTACATTAAGGCACACATTTCTTACGAGATTCGTTTTAGGTGTATCCTTCCCTATTCAAAGAATACCTCTAAATCCGTCACACCGAGAGCATGCTTGTTCAACAGGGCTAACGTCAAAACCACACGTTTTATATATAATATAATAAATTATCACACACCGCCTATTCCACCAACACGAATATCATTTGGTGTCATAAACACAAATATTACGTGTTCTATAAGAGACAAATTACATCACTATCGCCTGATAAACCGGATATACATTTACACGTGGTACTAACCGAACACTCGTATTATCTTGATTTACTAATAAGTAATAATATGATTGAATTACACTTAAAACAACGCAATAAATTATTATATGAAATATTGCACAGATCCAGAAATAAAAAAAAAACATAATGGAAAAGATGAAAGTGAATCAATAAAAACGGTATATATACATTCTAAATCATTGTAAGTAAAACGAACACGCGCATTTTCTAGTGCCTGGATAGACGGGACTGGTCATCTAGACGGCACGTGACACGTCATTCAGACGTAGGTCACGTGACAAATTACCGTAATATATCCAAAGTTCATGGGAAAAAACATTTTCGACACATATATAGGCATGGAAAATACACATTATCAATGAAATTATGAACACATTTCATAAAACAGGCGTAAGAAAAACTCATCGGACAAGATTCTAAAAGTTATAGGGTATTCTATAGTTTTAATACAATATATCTGCAATAGATCTATATATTATCTCTAAATTCATTCTTAAAATATCATACTGATAATTAAAACTACATTGGCATTTTCTCTATGACACTGTAGTGCATACTAGTAATAACGTACACTGTATGTACTTCAATATAGCATATATAACAATTATTACATATATTCTTTTTCTAAGACGTATATACGATAACAAATTGTTTATATGAACTTGCCGGTAAACATATCTTGTAAATACACGTCGAATAATAAATATCATTTACACGTTAAAAAATGTAGTTATTATACATACTAATAATTATATAAAATGTAATGTTAATATACATTTTCCTTATCAGTAATAAAATACTTTACATATTAGTAATCACGTAATATACATATTAGTGACTACGAATTATGTATAAATATACTAGTAACTATATAATATATATATATATCCGTAATTACTGATGGTACAAACATGTAACTATATATGTGTTGGGCAATAATGCAAATATTCCTGTGTATTGCACGCCTCAAGTCTTTCTAGAGCCATCTTAACTTAAAGAAGTGCTTTTATGTCGAGCTGTTATCATAATTCGGCGATTTCAAAGTGACGTAAAAAGCACAAAAATAAAATAATCCTGTAAATTTAAAAAGTATGTTCATTAGAGGAAATGGCAGTCAATAATAGTGTTTTTTCATCCCTTCGCTTACAAATAAATCAATATATATGTAAACATCTATATATATATATATATATATATGTTTGATTTTCATTGCTATCACTGACATCCAATTTCAATATATCTAACACCACTGGAGGTGAAATTCATCAAAGTAAGCGTTGTCTCCCGAATGCTCTGATCTCGGTCAATCTGCTGGCCTAGAAGTCTGTGCTCGGTGTGTCCTCCTGTGGGGGCGGTACAGCCCGACTCTGTGTGGTAATCATGAGCTTCCGGGGAGCCTGTTGGGGTGCAGCCTGGACTGGTGGCTGTTCAGGCTCCGGCTCCTCTGTAAACACGCAATTACATATGTTAAAAAAATATTGTCGGAGGCAGCAGAAAAATCGTGATGTCGTAATGCATACAGTGATCTGATGTATATAGGGTAATACTTGGATCGCAATGTATATCAAATACTTGATAATAGATTCACAAACATTAGGTGGTAATATAATAAGTTTTTCACGTCATTAATTTTCAATATTCACGCGTGTTTATGTAGAGAGAGAGAGAGAGGGACAGAGGGAGCAATGTTTTTTTCTTTGTCTACTTCATTGATAATACTGTTCACATAGAAATGAGTTTTCCTTTCGCCTGTTTCATCCATTATAGTCAAGATAAAATGTACATGAAGTCTGAATTTATTGGTTATTATGGCCGAAGTTAACACTGGGAGAAAATAAGCATGTTTACGAGGGACGATTCTTCTTTCACCATGGATAGTTATATAGAACACAAACAACGACAACATTTTTCTTTAAGGCGTGACATTTTAACAACACCTATCCCTTTAAAAAGGTGTAGAGAGTAAGCATCATATCCACCCGGAAATGCCCTCATATTACTAGTAGGTGGTTCTCAATTGTTATCCATATGAAATAATGTAAACATTTTTTTCATTTGCAATTAAAATTTCGCGAAAGATCAGTTGCCGTAAACTTGAGATGAGGAACTCGCTAGTTAGAAACGAAAGAGAATTAGTTTAAAGTATGTAGAAGATGTTTAAATGTAGCGCATATACACCAAAAGCTTAGCAGGACAGTACAAACAACAGGTCTGGAGGTGGGTATGGTTTCACAGGGCATACCCATTGCTGGAGGAGGGTGTTCTTTGTCTTTTTCAATCGACATCTGAAGAGCTTTAAATGCACGGGATGGAATATGTCCACCCATGTAACGTCGGTCGACCAGCTCGTCCCCGCTCAGGGTATCAGGTAGGCCATCGTCATAATCGTCTAAGTCATCGTCAGACTGGGTTGTGGGTTGAGACGCTAGGGTAAGGTACAAGAAAGGGAAGGCCAATGAGCCGGTATAGGAGACACAGGGAGATATAACAAGACTGCTGCAGAACAGATATGGCATGCATGACGTTTCCACGTCAGACGAAATACTTAGCTATAGCAAGCTTCCATTTTCATATCAAAATGGTTTCGAATATGACATAAATTCTTTATGATTTTCATTCTAACCGAATCAACCTTTTTAAACATTGTAATGTCAATTATCATGTCTTCTACTGGATACAACGATAAAAGTACAAATATGCATTGACAAGAATCAATAGATCTATTTGGAATCAAAATGACATTGGAAATGGTTTAATTAGTGATAAATTGGCGTCTAAATAGTTATCGCTGTGGTATTACAACTGCACTCTTTACTAATCCCTTTTGTGATCCGTTCAACATTTGACAGGGACACACCACGTAACCACCAACACATCACCACACATAAACCACAGAAACAGGTAGTAAGAACAGTCAAAAGGAGATCTTTCCAATAATGGCCTATTTGCTACAGACTATCCCATTTGTAAGACTTCGTATCAGCTTCTATTCTTCAAGCTTAATGGGTACTTTAATTTGTAATGTTGATTTGACAAACAGTGACACACATAATCACGAAATCGTTGGTATTCAGTTCTTCAATAGGAAGAAAGAGTTTCTCCTTACTTCTGAAGGGGAAAATAGGAGAGGTCTTAAGAACGTAGTTTTTCTGTTGGCCACAGATGAAAAAAAACAAGACCGAGGTTGTAATCTTGTAATAAAAAAAAGTTTAACAAGCTGTTTTTTTTTTAAATATAAAAGCAAGTGTGAAAAATATTTTTAAAAAGGTATCATTAATTCTAAGCATTATACCCTTAATTAGCGAAAGAGAATATATAGGAAAGATTTGTGGATCAGTGCAAGCATCCGTGCGTGCAAAGCGAGTGTATATCTTATCACACGAACACGTGGACAGAGTTCGATAATTATTAGTCATGGATAAAGGTCAAATGTCCTCTTTGACCATTTCAGAATTAAGAAGCCAGTGTTCAATATATATATGTTAAAAAAAAAAAAAAAAAAAACATCTTAACAGACTTTGTAAAAACCAGAAAGTTGGGGCCCCTTTTCACTTTGGCTTTATATCTTTAGAAATTCGACTAATCAAACCTCTATATTCTTCAAATTAAGTCACAAAATGGAAAACCTATAAGAGTAAGTTTTGAACTCATATCGTATAAGGTATTGCACGTTTAGGTCATATGAAAACGAAAGTTAGAATCAGAAAGATATATATTCATTTCCAATGAAATACAGTCGATATAATATATAAATATGCAAGGATACATTAGGAAGAAGATAATGTTCAATGACAACCAATTTAAAGCATGCGAAAAAGAAAATTAGGAAGAGGAAGTAAAGTGTGATTTACCTTTTTGGACGGGTAGAGGGTCAATTTCGGCCCAATTTTGAAGCACACGAAATGAAGGGGACGGAATGTGCTTTCCCGTGTATCGTATCGATGTTTGGTCGTACCTTCCAACGGGTTCTTCCTGGTCTTCTACAAACAATCAGGAAATATCTTAATGTAAGTACAGTCCTTTAAAAGTCGAATGTCTAACTAAAAAATCTTTGAAAATATTGAAAAGAAAACAAATCAAACAATTCAAACATTTCTGACGTATTATCTCCCTTGACCAGGTTGGTGCTACTAGAAACACATTGATAGAGAAAAATCTTTATTACAGTGCGTTAATTGATAGGTTACACATTATCAGTTTTTTCACAGACAAGCATTTCCAAAGTAAAAGTTTTTTATTCCAAGCAGATAAACCTTAATATTAGCATTGATATCCGATATGTATTTAGATATGCGTGGAAAAAGGAAATTGGAGGTCGAACTTACGACGTCCCAGAGGTTTAACCAACAGTCTCTAAAAATTCTGGCTTCATATATCTTTCATCGTACCTTCATTGGCTACTTTCTGAGGAGCGGGAACATCGGTGTTGCTGGTCATCTTATTTAAACATTTGAATGCCTTAGATGGGATATCCTTTTTCCTGTTTCTCAGGCCGCTGAATCTCATTTCATCGTCTTCAGCATTGTGACGCAATGTCGGGTCCTTCATAGCACTATTACGCCTTGGTTGTTGCTTACCTAAATGATAATATTGACAATCATATATATTTGTTAAAATTACCATTCAAAATTATAATCATTATAGAATGAATACTATAACGAATTACCTGATGAGTTTGAGCAATATGATATATATCTTATCCACGAAATCAAAACTTGTTCGAATTCATATAAAAATCCCTCAATTTTCTCGTCATTGATTAGCAGTGGGTAAGTAAAGCCACATTGCATTTATATATCAATGAACATAATCCTCGCTAGATGTAAAAATTACTTCAACTAAATTCTGGAGCATAGGTATAATATTTAACTCAATTTGATAATTACCTTCCAAACGACATGAATGTTTTTTTCTGATATACGATAAGAAAACGGTGTAAATTTCGCCTTAACTATTATCTCCTGTTTTTAGCCGTGACATCTTTGCATGTATTAGAGATATAATGTACAGAAGTAAATATTATATACACATATTTAAGGAGTACATACGTATAATATATGTAAGTACAATAAAAGGATAACATATATAAGTAGTATACCAATATATGTAACATACATAGCATCAGTCAGAGTGTGCATTTACATATTTTGGTGAAGTTAAACAGGTTACTCCATAGTAATTATGTTATAACGTCGACACACAAAGAAAGCAACATTACGATAAAGGCGGTCGTAATTTAAGACTACAGTGGAAAATTTAAGAACAATAAATTTGTCAATAGAAAACCAATTTATGGTATGAAAACAATACATTTAGAGTACCGAGTTGTTCATCCAATACCAAGTATCAAAAGATTCTGGTGAATCGACGTTTGTCTTACGGTACAAAGCACCTAATCATTCAGTTATGTGTTTGTCTTAAATTCTCCACCGAACCCTCTTCAGGCAATTTTGGAGGGATTAGCTGGGAGATAGACATGGCATACCTGACACATGTTCACGTCTGTTTTTGCGTTTTCCTTATTTACTGTAAAGTGCGTCACAAGTAGAAAAGTATATGATGAGCCTATCACTGATGGACACACAGGTATGTGATAATATGTCTGTGTTTTTGTACGTCTTAGCATTGAAATAAAGAATCGCACATCTTTCCTAGAATCACTTAGACATTTCTAGCCATGAAATGAGTGAGCCGACAGAGAAAGCAAAACACCTTTAAACTTTACAATTATTTCCTTAATGCCCGTTAGTGTGCCAGTGGTTCCGTTGTTGTTAACCTTTTCATCTGGCAGCGTGATGTCACATGTATTTACTTTGATGGACCAAGACGTGCGTAGCTGGTGTCATCAATGAAGCAGAAGACGTTTACCCCTCCAGAACGCATGATTTCAAGGATCTCCTTGTAAATCTTTGTTTTAGTTCTCTTTTATTGTATATGATGTAATATCCATAATGATATATGTTATGGTCGCTTCTAAAATTTTAGTCAGTTTCACTTAATTGGAGACCGAAATAATTTGCAACCTATGCCAGTATGTGCATTAGATAAAATTTGAAGTACATAGTCATATCTAATTCAATAATAAGTACGCTGGTATTGAAGTCAACATGATCATTGATTATGTAGAAAGGTTATTAAATAAATAAGGGTACATACAGTTTATGGGAATGGTAAATTACTCATCCTAAAAATTGTTATAACTTCCAATATGAGGCTCAGAGGTACACGACACTCGGATAAGGAGACAGACAAACCATGGCTGCCAACAGGAAGGTATTATGAAATGGGAAGCCAGGTGTTTGGAAACAGGATCGTGATGTAACAGGAGGCAATGGTAAAAAGTAAAGCACGCCTGGTGGTTGTAATGAGGGTCGCGAAAAGCAGAAAACAGAGTATATTGTGTAACAATTCATACTCTCGGTTGCCTCCTCCTGGTCCTCGGTCTCCGTCATCCATTGCAACACCTGGAATGACAATCCATGTGCCCGCCTTTGAACGAACATTGACGACGGCGAAACCGGCGAATCCGGAACTTCCGGGGAACTGCGTTCGTTGTCTGTTTGTTGTATTAATTGAAATAACGCTGGTGATATAGGTGTTGTGGGTGATTCAATCTTACCTTCGTTTTCGCTCTCTTGGATCATCTGATAGACCGCTGACTTTTCAATGTCCTTCAGGGGTTTTTCTGAGTTACTGAAAAAATACATGAATATCCATTTAAATATAAGTTAATAAACAAAAGAAAAGGTTACTGTGAATGAATAGACGGATGAAAAATGAATATGAAGGGTGTTTGTGTGATATTGAATGCTTCAGAGATGATTGTAATTAATGAAACAACATGCGTATTAACATTTAAACACTCATCACTCAAAGTTAACGATAATAATTGAAAATAGACCAGAAGATTTCCGTTTTAAAAGCGCCACATCTGACCATGCAAACACATTTATACATTCTTATTAATGTTCATATCTAACGCAATTTTGGAATTATTAGAACTGAATTTCAAAATCCAACATCTTAAAGTTTATTTGACTTTGTATATTTAAAAAGGTGTGAAGGATGCGTTATTGCTACATCAACGACCAAAATCAAAATACATATTTCCAGCAGCCTTATTGCATTTTCCTAACGGACGTTATTGCAGACATTCCAAACCTTGTATCAGGTATTAGCGTAAATAGCACTGCACAGCAATTTTATTATATTGGAATAGAGGTATTACAATTCCACACTCTGCTGTAAGTGTCGGGTTGGGTAAAACGAGGTATCAGGTGATTACAAACACGTGCATCAGTACGTACATTACATCAAACATATCCCTCTATATTGCAGGCTACCATAGCTATGCAATTCGACTACACACTAGGCAAACAGAAACGATGCATGGTATATTGGTTGATTCAAGAAATAATTCAATTTCAGATATTCTCGAAAATGAGACAAAACTTTTAAAGAGATAAACGTACAGTTAACTCAAATTGTGTTATTGCAAAACAATGTAAATACTTTCACAATACACCAAACAGTGAAGTAACTAGGTACACTATAACACCTTCTATCTCTATTCAAATGTCTTTCAACACAAAGGATTGATATAAATTATGTAATGAAGACGTTAGCATTTTAACTGAACAAATTTAATGTGTGTTCAAACCGCTAGCATTTAATATTTTCAACATAAGATACGCATTAATGATTCCAAAGATCTAAATTATCACTATTGAACTCATGCAGTTGTCATAATTGTCGAGTGATTTCAAATTTTAAAAATAACAATCTCATTCACCTATTTATCAATATCTGCATTCACTCTTCAGCGACAACAAGACATTATCTTAACGTAATTTCATTCGCACCGAACCACATGCAAAATTAATGTAAAATTTGCAACTTATAAATAGATTGATTTTCGATTTTTTTAGTGAATGAGCGAAAAACTGTAATGGAATCAGTGCGCATGGGAAATATGGTACTTAAATAATTAAAACAGAATGATGTATCGATCATAGAAAATTGAACAGTTAATTCCCTTCACTAGAAATAAAGAGATGTCTTGAACCTCAAATATAAAATCGATAGTATGACCCTATTACTGACAAGAGTAGCTGTGTTAGTGACAAACGAAAATAACTGGATTCAAACTAATAATCCTGGGTAAAATAGCACACAGAACACAAAACTGAAAATGTTAGCTTTACGTAAATCATTCTGTGATAACTATGATAAGGTTAAGAGTCTATATGTGTGTGACAACACGTCATCATGGATTAATGTTGGACAGAAGCAATCGCTATAGGCACAGCGCATATACGTCTGGCCGTCCTTGTCACATTCAACGCCGTGACGTCATCCAGCATTTTATGCACTCTATTTCGGTAGCACTAGAGGACGGACATACACGAGTTCTCACCGAATGGTCTTTCTGGGCGGTATAATGAAGTTAGATAGTTTTCTATGGGGTATGTCAGGGCTTGGTATTGGTCGGTAATATTTGCTGAAAATAGAGACAACCTTAGGAGATCAGGACGGAAAATTATAAAGTACCACGCATAACCTGTCAGTGCTGCAATTAAAGACAATTGATAAACATTACAGATATTAGCACATGTCATTGGCAAGTACTTTGAACCAATACTGTGACATTAGTTTCAGAACGAAACCCACACTGTATGATGACGTGGTTAGCAATGGAATAATGATGACCAAGAAGAGATGCATTAGAGAAAATGTGTAAGAAGATCACTGTAAGAAAACCAACCACACATCCAATTAGTAGTAAAATAGTAACATAGGTAACCAACAACACATCAAACATTAGTAACCAGATTCCATCCTTGCTGTAACATATTAGTCAAAACAATCTTAACTTGTTGTTACATATTACTCTAAACGTAAAAAAAATAATGAATTTAAAATACTAACTGATTTAGAACATAAATATAATCATAATGAATAAGAAAAAAACCGCGTCATAACAGCATATAGTATTATTGATAACCAACTGACAATCTATATATCTTTGTAACGCTTTCAAACACGACTTTTAATCATCCCTTGTTTTGGTAACAAGTTTGGATATCTACACAATGTAAACATATGTTTCAATTATGTTTGGCTGAATGGTTTTGGTGAAAGATGATTGAGCAGCGTAGAGAAGTGGTAGCGTATGCAAACTGTTTCATCGTCTATAATAGATCTAACAAATTATTATTTATATTTATATTAACAGGAGAGCAGATAACCGTGATAAACCGTCCCTACCACCCTTCATATTTATTCACTACTTTACATATGCCACTTATACATTTCAAGTTTGCAATCAAGCCAAAACCAAAACCAACATAAGAAATAAACAAAAACACGTTTATACAATATACAATGCTATTCTAACCAATTTGCAATGATCTGTTCTTTATGTAGAATAACATCAAGAAGTAACACAAAAATAGCACTAGGGGTAACAGAATAAGTGTAAAAGTATTACGTTAAAGAAGTCAAAATTACGAATAATCACTATTGTAAGCATAATTAATATATCCTGTCCCCCAGGAATATATTTCAGTTTGCTATAAAGCCACAGACTAGCGTTTACATTTCCTAACACGAGTTTTGACCGTCCTAGTATAGGAAAGGCATACCAGCCCCGAAGAAACACATGTCGAGACGTGCTGTAAAGAATGGACTAGCAGTTCTGTAAGGAATAGACTAGCAGTCCTGTAAAGGATAAACAAACAGTCTTGTAAAGAATGGACAAACAGTCCTGAAGAAAAGTGACAAACAGTCCTGTAGAGAAGGGACAAGCAGTCCTGTAGAGAAGGGACAAGCAGTCCTGTAAAAAGGGAACAAGCAGTCCTGTGGAGAAGGGACAAGCAGTCCTGCAGAGAAGGGACTAGCAGTCTTATAGAGAAGGGACTAGCAGTCTTGCAGAGAAGGGACAAGCAGTCTTGTAGAGAAGGGACAAACAATCCTGTAAAAAGGGAACAAGCAGTCCTGTGGAGAAGGGACAAGCAGTGTTATAGAGACGCACTAGCAGTCTTGTAGCGAAGGGACTAGCAGTCCTGTAAAAAGGGAACAAGCAGTCCTGTGGAGAAGGGACTAGCAGTCTTGTAGAGAAGGTACTAGCATTCTTGTAGAGAAGTGACTAGCAGTCTTGTAGAGAAGGGACAAACAGTCCTGTAAAGAAGGGACTAGCAGCCCCATTATATTGTATAATAATTATTTTGCTAAGATCTCCAAAAGACTCAACATTACATAACAGATAATTCAAAGGATTATCGAGAATAAGATATGATGAGACAAAAAAATACAAATACTTCGATTAAATAAATCGGCCCTTAAATGTTTTCATTCCAGTATCATACAATTAAAATCGCTACATATGATTGCAAAATTATTGTATACTGACCCAGAGCTACCCCTGACTGGCGGGGAGGGCGGCATCCTAATGGGCGAGAAATCGTTGTTGTTTTGTTGTTGATATTGTGGCTGTTGGTACTGCGGTTGTTGTTGTTGATAAGGGGAAGGCTGGAATTGGGGCTGTTTGGGTTGAAACTGGTACTGAGCTGGGGAAGGAGGGGTTGGAGGCTGATACTGCTGGGGAGTCGACTGTGGCGGTGGTTGTTGTCTTCTAGGTTCAGGCTGTGTATAATCTGTTTCTATATCGTTCAGACTAGGTCCTCTGTAAGACTTCGGCATCACTGGTGGTGGAGGACGGCTGGAATTAAAGGACAAATTTTAACATGTTTTGATAACTATAAACATTCAAATATAGTATGTATCAATGTATCGTATCGATATTAAGACATGTAAAATGATAAGATCTACTTGACAACAATTAATATCTAAGAACACAAGAAACTGTGATTTATAGTTGTGTTTAAATGTAAAACATTGGGAAGTCCTAGAGTAGATGTTGAAGCAAGAATAAGATTTGTATCTAAATCAGATGTGATCAAACTGGATCAATTAACGTAACATTGAGAACATTAGGAAACGTTACAAGCAATATAAACATCTGGCATGAGTTTCTTGTAAGGTTTTAGGAGATGTCATTCCTTCATCCTATTTGGTATGATTAATTGACCAAAAAGACAAAGGCTAAAGAACACTGTTCATTTATTGACACTTGTCACTCTCTAGTCCTATATGAAAAATGTTCTTAATTTCTCGGTTGCAACAGTGGCTCTGTCATTATTATGTAATCACAGAGGGAAACCATTAACAAGCCAGTAATTTGATGGCTCCGAGAACATATTGCATTAGGTTATAGTAAACACACATTCGGGACTGATGGTACGCAATTCACCAGTGTGCAACAGTTCCAAATCGCATGCCACAGGAACACTGACTATTCGTCACACATTTAATTAACATATTAAGACTATTCTTGAGACTGTATATTTCATGTATCTACCTTTTTATGTAACATTTCGTGCGTATAACACGTGGATATCAATTATCTAGTTAAATATACTACCTCAGATGACATATACAAGCCATAACTCCATTAAAGACTCCGGTACCAAGTGACTGTCACTTTGCCATATTAAATAGGTGTCTTGAAATCGTTTACCAGGTCAACACTGATATCTCAATGTACATTACAGTTATCATAATGTCCTGTATTCAACAGATAAGGGTAACATTATTATATGATACAGTGTAATTCTTACTTTCTCTTGTTTTTGAACTCCTTCAGATCAATGCCCCCAGTTATGTAGGCAAATGGTTTAGCATTTCCGTCCTTTTTCATCATCTGATTAAGCACTGCATCGGGAACAGCCCTCTCTTGTCCCATCCCGGGGGGCACGGGACTACCGTCCCCGGGGGTGCGTTCGTCCCTTGACTGAAACATCCACAACGCAAAATGTATGTAACAGTACTTTAGAGGAGCTTACAAACACATCTTAGTATGACAGCATAACAGACAACCCCGAATATGAGGTGGCAATGTGTATAACATGTAGGTAGAAGATGTTTTGTAACAATGCCAAACGTTTGCAATGTTGATGGATAGCGTATCATTCCCGTCGCATATATTGTAAGTTTCTCCTGCTGAGATGTGCTTTAAAATGTCTCAAACTAAGTTTATCAAAGTGCATATGTCTTGAAAATCATAACGCTTTCTATGCAGGAACTATCTGAAGGAGGTGGAGTTTTCCCAAAGCACGTTACCATTTTATCTGGAGGTGAGAAGGACAGTTAGATAACTCACATTCATATTCTATTTATGAAGGTTAATTATAGTTATCAAACAATGATATTGAACTAAATTCCAGCACAGCCGACGGAGTCGGAGACGCTTAAAGTATATGTAGCATATGACTAATGAGATTAAACATGTAAGAAAACAAAGCACTAGTGAATACAAACAACAGGTCTTTATAGTCTAACACACCCCGGTTTTTTAAACACTGTACACGGCAAGTTATCATTAACAAAGAATTAAAAGATTTTCTGTAAAGATGTGTTTTGGCAAGTATTTTGATGATTAAATTGGGGAAATATTAATATTATTAGATCATAGCTTTGTCTCCGTCACTTGTCTTTGTAAATGTACTATTATCTTATATACGTATATAACACAATTCCGATTACTAAATTCTTAACCACATGACACATATAGGTCGGCCTGTTCCGCCTTGAAAATTGTATACCACATTTATATATCAATTACCACAGTACCAAGTGAGATCCACGCACAACGACTACACGAAGTCTAAATATACATTTTCCACAATACGAGAACCTATTACGCGTTTACCAGTGTTAGGGCGTTGGATTAACATGGCCAAAGGTTACGTGGGAAATTGTCTAAAGCATTTAATATATACTTTGTTAATCATTGTGATTCATATGGAAAACTGATTATGTTTTAAAGATCTGAGAAAGAACAAATGAGCAAACCATCTCCTATACCAGTCTCTCGGCTAATTATTCGCTCTGGTGCGACTGACTGTATATTATTATGGTAGCCATGGCAACAGTCTATCTTGTCTGCACCAGACAGATGCATTGTACATACCTTACCTGCTACACTCCAAGAATACCTCGGCCTATTTCTAATGCTTACACGTGCCTGTTACTGTAAGGTTTTATCGTGTTTAGCTTCATAAATACGGTATGCCTTGTCATGAATAGTATAGTTACATAGATATCTATAAATAACACTATATATTAATTCATGAATTCTACTTTTTGTTATTTTGTGTCCTGCACTTCATTAATGCGATTTTTTAAATCAGGAATCATCTTTTAGTATATTTACATATATCGGTATATCACTTAATGATTTGACATATTTAATTTTTATAATTTTCTGTTTCAGAAGTTTAGACCCTGCATGATTTCATTAATACGGTGTACATTAAATCACCTATGATAAAACTACCGACATATTAGTCTATAACCTCAATCATTGCATGCTGATCATGTTTGACAGAACATTCAAATAAAATCGTGTTTAGCACAGAATCAGTGTTCGAATCGATGTGATTGATCAAATACTGTCACTCGAATGGATGTAATCAAGGATTTATATTTAACAAAGCATGCGATGATTTTGAATATTAACTATGAATTTTAAAATGGCAACAATGAATAAAATAAAAAAGATGAGACAAAAAATAAAACTATGTATTTCCTCACCTTGTAAGCTGGTCTTTTGGTTGGAACATATCCTGCCGAGGGGAAAGGTGGAGCTGGTGGTGGTGGTGGAGGGGGTGGGGGTGGAGGCGGGCCCACAGGAGGGGGTGGAGGTGGTGGAACTCCAGGAGGTGAAGGACCCATTTGGTCTCCATATAACTGTCTTGGTTGATATGGGGTTTCCTCCCATGGTTGTGGTGATCTTACGCCGTACATATCCGAATGAGGTTGTCTAGAGGGCTCTGACGAGTTATTTAGTGTTGGAGATTTGTAACTCCTCGCTGAATCCGAAATATCTGCCGACACTCCTCTATCTACATTATGCTTTGTAACAGGTTTAGTGCTGTTAATAAAATCGTTATAGTAATTTGGGAATTTCTCAAAAGGTGACAAAATATCCTCAATGCTGTTGATGCCCGTGCCACTTGATTTCACTGAAGATGGTGACGTAGGCTCTCCATAAGATGTCGAACCGGAAGTTCCGGTTTGTTCATTTGTCACATGGTTGTTTGTTGGCGGTGAAGTAGATGACAATGTGGCGGAGAATACTGGCGATTTTGGAAACGACCCTGATGATGTTTGTCTCTGAACTGGCACTGGTGAGCTGACAGCTTCTCGGTCACTACCAAATGACCCCTGTCTCTGGAAACCTCTCGGAGTCGAATTATCAATAGATATTCCAGCACTCTGGGATACCTGCCTCCGAGGGGGTCCAGTGGAACATCTATCCAAGAGCGGGCTCTGTGGCGTTGAACTGTAAGATGGTTGTCTTTGATATTCTGATGATTGTTGCCTATGGTAACCAGCACTTTGTGCTACCTCCGCCGGTTGTTGTTTGTAAGAGGGGTAATCCTGCCCGGCTGATTGCTCGTAAGTATTATGTCTGGCAGCTTCTCTTGATGGTTGTCTTTGAAAAGGTGAATAGGAAGTAGAATTGCCGTATGACCTATTTGGAGGAGTGGGAGTATCATCACTTTGCGTATACCTTGCTGATGATTCATATGGAGGGGAGTACATGTTCCCGTTTTGATTATAAGCACTTTCCTTGTTGGATGACCCTGATGAATGCTGTCGTTGGTAGGCAGGCGAACTTGACGAAACTCCCCTTCTGTCTTCAATGCTACTTTCATACGATGGAGGTGCTATCCCCGGCCCTGGCCCGTAACTAAAAGATGCCGGAGATGGTTTGTATGAAGACGATGATGAGTTGCCTGGCTGGGTGCCAGAAGACAGGGGGGAATCAAACGTGTTGGGACTCGGTCCGTATGACGATGTCTGATACCCGCTACTGTCACTTCCACTCCTATTGTGTGATGTGGGTATGTTACCTCCACTTGGTCGGTATGGTGTGGGCTTTGGCATAGTATAGCTCCCTACACCGTACGGAGCGCTGTTTTTGCGCCCATACTGATGGGGATCGTACTGATGGTCCCTTGGTGTGCTTTGCATTCCATGACCACTGACACCTGAAATACTTGCATGCCTGGGAAGAGAGGTAAAGTACCTAGCGTTGTCAAAGGATTCGTCGTCCGTGAGGAAATTTCGGTAATTTGAAAAACCTTCAGAGGCAGGTGAGAAACTTCGGAAGGAGGTGGGACTAGTAGGGGCTGTAAAACTCACTGCTGTTTTAGACATGTGTGTAGGACTTACCGGCGCGCTGGCAGCCACAGTTCTACACCTGTAAAATAAAACGACAGGTAAGATTTTATATTGCATAGGACATCACAGAGCACACCTTATTTCATCTGAACAATAAACAAATATATATCACTACTTTACAATGAATGTCTGTATATAATTATTCGTGTAGATTGTTATATATACATTTATTGTTTTTCATTTTGTTGTTATTTATCAAACCATGATTCTTTCATCCTTCTGTCTAAAATATCATTATGATGTCCTGATTGTTTTCTTTGTTACTTTGTGATACCCGTTCAATAGTTTGATCTAATTTCAGCTGTAACATAGGGCATTGAAGCCTTGCCCCCCAACCGTTTAATAGATACATACAAAAATGTGGGAGTTCTGGTACGAATGCCTACAAATGATAAACAGATGGTTTGGATCTGCATAGAGTGCCACTGGTATCTGTTTGTGATGTATATGATAAAACCATGTGTACAGCCATACCTACATACTAGCCTTACCCTTACAATGGTAATCACACAGCTGTTAATACTAGAGTGTTGTAATACTGCAGAACATCACTTATTCGTGAGTTTATCATTTTCCATATGATTATCTAGAATAATTAGGTGAATCGTCCAGGTGTTTTGATTAAAACCGTTGTGATTCCCTCCGAAAACATTGTTCATGATAGCATTGCAAGTATCGTCCGAACAGCATAGAAAGTATGACAATTTGACTATATTTCCAATTTTTGTATACACATACTAGGCTTTTTTCAGAATCTATGCAATACCGATATTTATCAAATTTTCCTCTTTTGCATTCTACGTTTCACTATTCAAAAATGTAAGCATCCCTGACGATTTCTAGAATGACGAAACAGCTGTGTGATGCAGTTTGATTCATCATTGTTTTATCCCAGTGATTTTAACTTGTATTGGACGGTGCTATTCATTTATGTGTGTTTTATTCAAGCATAACCTAACACGGCAATTTATACACCGATTTATTTAAACATCGAGGTTTAAACCTTAAACATGTCTACACTAACAGAATTAACACGTTTAATCATGTATGTATACATAAGATGGATATAAAATGCCATGATAACCCAGTTTGAGAAAATGAAGTAATCGTGTGAATGATATGTAAACTATCCCTACGGGAGGTGTAAGGTGTGAGGATACAAAGTAATCAACAAAGGAAATGGGGAAATCATTTAAATGAAAATCTTGTTAACGTAAACTGTAATTACATCAACACATAATATACGAATACGATCGACAACATGGAAGAAATAAAGATCAAAAGGGAAAAAAGTCAATGACGTGAAGGTATGAACGTGAATTAAAATAATTAAAAAGGGGTAACCTCAAAAAATTCATTAAAAATCATTAAAAATGAAATCTTAATTAATACCAGTGAGGCCACACATTAAAAATCATTAAAAATGAAATAATTAATACCCCTCAGGCCACACATTAAAAAGACCCGATGCTTATATGATCAATTGTCTAAGGATTGTACAAAAGACAACTAAATGAGTAGCAAATTTCAATACAAATTTAGAATAAGTGATAACAATGGCTTGAATTGTTGACAACGAGGAGGCGACTGAAGACAGTCTAAACTGGTCGAAACAATTGTACATCCGGTAAGGAGTTGCACCAACCCCAAACATCAATGAATTTCATATTTGATACTGAATTAACATAAAGAACGTAAATAAATGAATACTTACTACTCACTCTTCATCAGAGAAGTAAAATCATATCGGATTCACTTACTTTTTTATAGTTAGTTGCAGAAGGTTGCCGGCGTTCAGAAGTATGGTCTGTCCCTCTGAATGGGTTACATTCGTAACATCACGGTTGTTAATCTTGAGAATGACGTCACCAATACTCAAACTGTGACAGGACACACTTCCGGGATTTACCTGAATTAAAATAAAATATTGAAAGTATATATAATATTTTTTTTCTTGTTGAAGGCTTTTCAACTTCGTACAAAATAAACAAATCCTGGTGAACTACGATCTATGAAATCACTGGCTAACAGATCGGTTTGATACATGACACGACAGAAATCAGGCTTAAAGGTACCATTGAAACCAACTCCAATGATATACACCTTGTCTGAAATGAATGGAATTGCACATGAATTTGAATGCCGTGATTCTCTTTCAAAAATATTTCAAATATTCTTGTTTAGGCTGTAGTTGTGATATTAATATTCAAGTAGAAAATGCACAAACTTTAGTTGACACATAAAAGTTTTGAAATTATGTGTGAAATGTCTTTAATTATAAGCTCACCTAATCAAGGCTCTGATAGTTTTACTGTGTCGTCTTCTCGGCTAACAATAGCTTAATGATTGAAACTTTAGTTAAACTGTCCAATTTTATTATTAAATTACTGTTTAACGAGGGATTAAATGACATCACAAGTGCTTATTGTTATGAGAACAATACATAAATTCTTTTTACCACCCGCTAGTAAATTCAGCGTTCATTCATAACGCGGAGGCTTGTAGAATGAGTCAGTGCGTCACAATATGACAGTGTCAGCGTACCGAATATAAGTCTATGCTTTATCCTCTGTAAAGTTAACAAAGCAGAGTAACTATGTCATACACTTCTGAAAAGTACTACACGCTAATATAGGAAGCTGTGTTTATTGTGTGGTGGCAATCTAAGTGTCTTAAAACTGGTCAACCTCGGATACTGAAGGACATGAAAGACTGAAAGATGTAAAATATCAAACGCTTAGCTAGTGTGTAGGAGAATTTCATTCATTTAATACACATCAAAAGACCAATTAGTCATGCTGTTTGCAGATTATTGAAACTATCACGCAGTCTTGTAAAAACCACGTAGTAGTATTTCTGTGAAGTATAATCCTATTTCTATATGCGGTTTCTGACACACATTTTCTCTGAACACAACAATTATAACTTTTCACTCAGAATATGAAGGTGAACATATATTATATTATTGATTTCTAAATATTCCTCATTAAAAAAACAAAACCTCTACCGAAATACAACTCATTGATAATTTTTTTACATTTCCCTCAAGTATTTGGATAATTTCCCAATTTAAGAATGCCAGTCAACCACTTGTATAGATATAACTATATGTTATAAACACCCTACAATATCGTACATTATGAACAACACGTAAACACGAACAGATAGGATTGCCACCATAACACTCTTTATTCTTAGCATTCTTAATGTGATATTAAAAAGATGTAACTCATTGACAACTAACTTCAGTGGTGTGATTCATGAGTACTACTGTTACTTATTAAATGGTTCTATACTAAAGTATGCATTATATTGATAAAAAAAACCCTTATCATTCATTTGTGTCAAACAAGTAAAGAAAACTAGTTGCGTCAGTCAGTGGTTTTATTGGAGAAATTGTATAACCTAACTCTCCGAATTCCTCAATCACACGAGATGCTGGCATTGTTAAGACGGTTGAAGTATTTCCGGTATGTGATGAATCAACACTCAGGTATGTAAAACGGCTGCTGAAGCAGGGCTTCCCACCTACACTTACTGGTGACGTCACAGGCATTGAGGGGAATTCCTCCGCTATAGACTCATCGAAACAAAGTACAAGGTCATTGACCCCCTAGATCTCAACATTGTAGCTTCTGTTTACTATTGTTCACCTCTGACCTCTGTTTGCACTTAGTGTATTATTAGTATATCTGCTTATGTATGCTCGTGCGAATATCATTAGCACTTAAGATATGACATAATCACATGGAGAGGTGTACCCATTAGTATCGTTTACATGATACATGTGTAGATAATACATTTCTGATGAATTTTTTCTAACATGTTTGATCCCAGTAAGGGGTCTAACTTTGTACTGCTTTGACATAATGTGATCAATACTATCAATCGCTGTATAAGTATTATATCTATGCCTGACTGATTTCGTTGAGTGGTTATCGGTGTGATTTCAACCGATAATTTAATTGTCATGTTATTGTAATGAGACAATGAAATAGCATTGTTTTGTGTTTACTTCCATAATCCATTGTTTCACCGATAACTAACTTTTTTTACAGAAGCCGTGATCTTTTCAGATTTTCAGCTGATATTTGTTATTATTTCTACTGCTGAACGTTCTACGTCTATCCCTGGACGCTGGATAAAATCTGCTTTCCTCTACTTCAGGATAACAGGTATCAACTTGATTCTTATAGACGAAACTGATCGTTCAAAATAGAATTTCTTCACAGACCACTAATCAAACACAGCTTTATTCCAAATGGTTTTCCACAATTTCAAACCATAAACACTTTTAGATGTAGTGATACGGTTATATTTCATTTTTCTTATCTTTGAAAAAGGCAAAATCATATTCTGTTCTGAACAGCCAGACTATGTTAGTGTCAAATACTTCTCCTAACACTCATAGTGTTGTTTTACGAAGAACAAACATCCCCCATGAGGATGAAAACTGATTCTTTACTATTTACAAAATCATAATTTGTCCGGTATGCGATAATCATCTCCCTGTACACAAGATCAGCTTAAAGCATATCATGCTTGGACATTGTATTTAAGAAAAATGTCGGAACTTTATAAAGAGCAGCCTGAACTAAACTCCCCCTTCAGTCAATATTCATCGTAATTGTGTTCTATTTAATGGACATGTCTAGTATGCCTCTCGAAAGAGCATGGCGACCTGGAGTCAATATACAGACTGGTAATCATACAGTCTAATATATAGCCAGGACTGGAGTACAAGTCTTCTGACAAACAAATGCTGATTCAGAATGACGTACTTTCCAGCCATATAATGTCGGTATGAAAATCCAATATCCAATATGTAGAGTTTCTTTTAGAAAATGGAAGTGTGGAAGTGGGGAGGGGTATGGCCGGAGGGAGGGGGGTGCAAGGGTGAGAAATGAGTGTATGCCATCATGATGGGGTTTACTTCACCTGGTGTTAATCTGATCGCTTTTCATTAAGACAAAAGTACATAGGGATTCAATATGGCGATAGTTCTCATCCACATTGGATCTCGCTTTTAGTAAGATTATCTCCCTTGGTGAGCAAATTTGAAACATTTCTACCAATTGGGTTATCAGATCTGAGACGAATTGCCTAATTATCAGATTATCCAACCAGAAGTTGTCATGTTATAGAGACCAGACACTAATGGTCCAGTTATCTATATATCTTACCAGAAGTTGTCATGTTACAGAGACCAGACACTAATGGCCCAGTTATCTATATATCTTACCAGAAACAGTCAGGTTATAGAGACCAGACACTAATGGTCCAGTTATCTATATATCTTACCAGAAACAGTCAGGTTATAGAGACCAGACACTAATGGCCCATTTATCTATATATCTTACCAGAAACAGTCAGGTTATAGAGACCAGACACTAATGGTCCAGTTATCTATATATCTTACCAGAAACAGTCAGGTTATAGAGACCAGACACTAATGGCCCAGTTATCTATATATCTTACCAGAAACAGTCAGGTTATAGAGACCAGACACTAATGATCCAGTTATCTATATATCTTACCAGAAACAGTCAGGTTATCAGACCAGACACTAATGGTCCAGTTATCTAAATATATATTATAACTTGAAACAGTCAGGTTATAAGACCAGACACTAATGGTCCAGTTCTCTAAATATCTTACTAGAAACAGTCAGGTTATAAGACCAGACACTAATGGTCCAGTTATCTAAAGATCTTACCAGAAACAGTCAGGTTATAAGACCAGACACTAATGGCCCAGTTCTCTAAATATCTAACCAGAAACAGTCAGGTTATAAGACCAGACACTAATGGTCCAGTTATCTAAATATCTAACCAGAAACAGTCAGGTTATAAGACCAGACACTAATGGTCCAGTTATCTAAATATCTAACCAGAAACAGTCAGGTTATAAGACCAGACACTAATGGCCCAGTTCTCTAAATATCTTACTAGAAACAGTCAGGTTATCAGACCAGACACTAATGGTCCAGTTATCTAAATATCTTACCAGAAACAGTCAGGTTATAAGACCAGACACTAATGGTCCAGTTATCTAAATATCTTACCAGAAACAGTCAGGTTATAAGACCAGACACTAATGGTCCAGTTATCTAAATATCTTACCAGAAACAGTCAGGTTATCAGACCAGACACTAATGGCCCAGTTCTCTAAATATCTTACTAGAAACAGTCAGGTTATCAGACCAGACACTAATGGTCCAGTTATCTAAATATATATTATATACTTGAAACAGTCAGGTTATAACAGACACTACCAGAAACATGGTCCAGTTCTCTAAATATCTTACTAGAAACAGTCAGGTTATAAGACCAGACACTAATGGTCCAGTTATCTAAAGATCTTACCAGAAACAGTCAGGTTATAAGACCAGACACTAATGGCCCAGTTCTCTAAATATCTAACCAGAAACAGTCAGGTTATAAGACCAGACACTAATGGTCCATTTATCTAAATATCTAACCAGAAACAGTCAGGTTATAGAGACCAGACACTAATGGTCCAGTTATCTAAATATCTTACTAGAAACAGTCAGGTTATAAGACCAGACACTAATGGCCCAGTTCTCTAAATATCTTACCAGAAACAGTCAGGTTATAAGACCAGACACTAATGGTCCAGTTATCTAAATATCTTACCAGAAACAGTCAGGTTATAAGACCAGACACTAATGGTCCAATTATCTAAATATCTTACCAGAAACAGTCAGGTTATAAGACCAGACACTAATGGCCCAGTTCTCTAAATATCTTACTAGAAACAGTCAGGTTATCAGACCAGACACTAATGGTCCAGTTATCTAAATATATATTATAACTTGAAACAGTCAGGTTATAAGACCAGACACTAATGGTCCAGTTCTCTAAATATCTTACCAGAAACAGTCAGGTT